AATGGTAGGATAGTAGTTTTGCTTCTTAAGGATAATTATGGGGTATTTAGGGTTAATACATTTATAATACATAAGATAATTTCAGAATTAAGAGCATATTTGAGAATATCTGGGATATGATTTAAACCACCTGGCCTTGATTTTGTTTTTATCTTAATCTGCATATTGAAAATAAAATAACATGATGACATCTTTTTAAGAGAGAGATCCAAATGCAGATATTTATTTTTTCCAGTGGGAAAATAAACAATTTTTAGTATATTAAAGGGAAACTGGGAATCATGAGGCATTTCTGGAAATCACTAGGAGAAATGATCCTTCTGATAAAAATTTAAAGGAGGTTTTTTTTTTTTAATCCTTGGTTTGTTTTTCAGGTAATGCAATGTATCAAGGTGAAAAATGTATTTCTACTATTATAATAAGATAAACTAATTTAAGTTATATCAGCACCTGACCCAATTAAAGGTTTTCCCTTAAACCAAAATGCAAGCCTCCTAGTCAGTACAGTCAACTAGAATCTCAGTATATGTAGTTTTATTCTGATTTGTATCCAGTTTGGTTAGAAATGGATGAGTTTTTGTCTTACATAGTAGCTTGCTACAAGTCTATTACGTGAATCACGTAGCATTTAGAAAATGTGTTTAGCTTCTTGTGGAGTTTCACAAACCAAAAAATCCATTTCTATTCAAATAGCTTATCTATAGTCATTGCAGAAGCATATTACTGTGTTGCTTAGCAGTTAAGAAAGGCAAATGGTGACAGACGCCAGATTTCACTGCATTGGTCTTTAAGAAATACATGTATGACTTCCCAGTTAAAAAGGAATAATAATTATTGCATTTCTTTTGCTTATTCAGGAGCATTATTTGTAAAATGTAGTTTTATTCTTCCATTTTGTCTTCCTTCTAGATATGTTATAGTAGTTATGGCTAAAATTGTACATAAATATATTAGATATTGTCCATGCTTGAATGAATTCTCATCAAGGGATTAACCCTGTAACCTTTATGATCATGTTTTATTAATATCATTTAACTACATTTAGTATTAATAATATCCAAAATTTAACAGATCTGTAACTCTACATATAGAATGCACTTTGTGTCAGTTTTGAAAAACTGGAAAAGTTATTCTAACAGTGTGAAAAATCACTAACCATATATGTTTTCTGTATTATACCAACTGTAGTGATACAACTCATTTAAGCAGTAGTTCTTGATAATAATGATATAATATTTGTGTTTGCAAACATACTAACAAATATGTCCCAAAGAAATAGAAATATTTGGTACAGTTTTTGAAAATATATAGTATACTTTTAAATCCAGAAAATATATTGGCCATGAAATTATTTGTAATTAAACATAGAACTGATAAAATGGGAAAAGATTCAAAATTATAAATATCAAAAAATATTGAATTTTATTTTACTAATTTGGCTATTTTATTGTTGAAGCAATATAAGTTTTATGCAATGAGTTCACTTGAATTTCTTTCTTTCTTTTTTTTTTTTTTTTTTTTTTTTGTACCAGGAATAAAACTCACAACCTCCCATTTGCCAAGCAGGCACTTGCACCGCTGAGCTAAACTCCAGGCCCAAAAAGGGAACATTTTAAAAGAGCAATTAAAATGTATTTTAATCCACTTTATCTTTAAAATAACTTGGTAGTTAAAGCACTTTTCCTCAGCATTTAAACACTTAGATGTGCTCATGTGTAGTATACTTATGGGTTTGTTTAAACATATGACTTGATTTAAGTGAGATTTTGAAATGCTCTGGCACTAAACCCACTTTTTTAAAATGAAAATTATAGTTTATGTTAATTTGAAAATGCTAACTTTTTAATAGGTTCAGTGATATAGGAGAATATATGAGACTCAGGAAGTTTCATGTCCATTTTAGAAAGTTCCTGAGTTGATGCAAAGGTCCGCTAGATATTAGTTAATATTTTCACCTTTAATAACATCTCATTTTTTATGGAGTGATATTAATATTTAGGAAATCTTTTATAAAATGTTCATCACTGCTCAGTATGTCTTAAAATGTCTTTAAAAACTTAGAACTCATACATAAAAATGTAAAAACTATACATATTACTAGGATACCATGTAATGATTTGATGCACATATATACTGCTATACAATATTGCTATACACTATATGTTTCATCATATTAAGTGTATTTATCTTTTCAGACACTTTTCATTTTTTACAGTAAAACTTGCAAAATCCTTTCTTCTCGCTTTGAGTCATCCCATGCATTATTACTGTTCTGCGTACAGCTGCCCTCTACACAGCACCTGGGAATTTCTTGCTCCTATCTAATTACATCTTCTTACTCATGGGTCAACCTCTACTTAGCCCTCTCTCCTTACCTATTTTCCATGGTATCTAGCAATCTCCAATGATACATATCTGTTGACCCTATATTCAGGCTTAGAATACAAAATAACCTGAATTGTACCCACATTATTGAGGGTCTCTTAAATTACCATCACCAGATTTAACCTGATACAAATTTAAATGAAATAAATCACCAAGACTCAAGATTACTTCAGTTTACAGCACTGAATCAAATTTGAAAAGAAAACAGTTCATTCTTCATTCTGAAGTATAAAGCAGCATAGTCATAATGTATCCTTACAAGCATGCATGAAGGTGTCACAGCAGAAGTGAGAAGACACTGGCAAGACGAAGTGATGGTTGTGGGGCTGGGGATTTAGCTCAGTGGCATAAGCACCTGCCTTGCAAGTGTGTGGTCATGAGTTCGATCCCCAGTACTGATAAAAAAGAAAAAGACAAAAAAAAAAATAGTGATAGTTGTGTAAATAAAGAAAAGGTGATGTTCAGATTCTGGCTTCAGTGATTAGGCAGATTTCTGTGCTTATGAACCACCACGGAGTACCTGAGGAGTTTCAGAGATGCTGAGGCAGAGAATCAGGGAAAGACAGGAAATGATTATCTAAGTCAATTTGTATGCAAGGAAAAATGTAAATTAATTAAACTGTGTGCTGGTTACTGTCTCCATCTCAAAGTCAGTTATCACTATGTAACTTGTGTCTTTGTCATTTTTGCTCCAGACCAAGTTGTCTTTCTGTGCTCCAAATTGGTGTTTTGTTACAAGCAGAATGATTATTTCAGAGTAAAATCTAATTATCTTTGTCTTTTGATCAGAACTTTTCATTGATTTCTCATAAGAACAAGTATAGGAGGGCTTGTGTGACAAGGCTGTGGTTTGTCCTCTCATTTCTTCTTCTATGGATGACCACTCTGGCCCTAGGCTATAGACATACAAAAATGCTGACACTGATTTCACTGAGAATCAGTGCCATTTTATAATTTCATGTCTGTTCATATGCTACGCTTCATGCATAGTTTGCTGTATTTATCTCTCTAACCTCTTTCTTTTCATAACCTTTTGTAACTGCTAATTCCCATCTTTAAAGATGCATTTCAAATATTCTCCATAATGAAGTTTCTCTGACCTTTTCCAGTAGTAATCCTTCACTTGTAATCACCAGTCCTTCCATCGCCCCATGACAATTAGACAATCGTACTTCTGTTATTTAGAGATCTCTTCTTGTTATAGATGGAATTTCAGCTCTAATAAGAGCTAAATTGTAATGAGGATTAAGGATAACCTAAGGGTGTATAACTCCATAGCAGCCACCAAATTTCATCAGTTTCTATCAATGAATAGAGGTGATTGTCTCAGACTTTCCCACATGAGATTCCTGTCATTCAACCAAGTTTAGGGCCTTATCTTATTAAGTGACCTTCTAGGTATCAAAGATACATAAACAAGAAGGAATAGTGTAACAAATTCCATTACCCAGACTTGATAATTATTAGTTAATGAACCTTACTATTCCATATATACCATCTACAACCCCATTCCCCTTGATTTCTTTCAAATATTTTAGAGAAAATCCCAGGCATAATAGATTTTATCTGCAAATTTACTATATATATTTATGGGAGAAAAAGATACTTTTGGAAAAGATCATGGTAATACAATTATCACATGAATATATTTATAATTACTTTATATTCCCCTAATATCAGTATTAAATTTTGCACTGTTGTCCATATTTATAAACAGTTTATTTGAGTAAAACCTAGAGAAGTCTATAACTCTTGGCTGGCTGTTTTTAAAAAATATTTAGAACAGTCGTATTTAATTAGGGCCAATTTTGCCCTGTTAAGAATATATTGGCAAAATCTGGAGACTTATTTCTTCTAATAACTAGAGAAGGAAATGTTAAGGAAATCTAGCCTGTGGGGGCCCAAATATACTGCTAAGCATAAAATAATGCAATAAAAAATTTTCTGGCATTTCACTATGAAGTTGAGAAACTCTGAACTAGATTTCTTATTTCCTGATTTGGGGGGGGGCGGTCTCATTAGATATAGGGTATGCAATTCAGGCTGTCCTTAAATTCACTTAGTAGTCCAGGCTGGCCTCAAACTAGAAGTGATCCTTCTGTCTTAGTCCCTCAAGTATTCGGATTACAGGTGTGAACCCCCACACCTGGCTTCCTGATTTTTAATAACAACTTATTTGTTGAATACAGTTACTTTTCCTCTAGATTTTCCAATCTGTTTTTAGCTAGGAAAACATCATGATGTTAATTTAGTGCATTTTTGTCCTACACATTAGTTAGCAATTAGATTTTGAAACATTATCAGATTCATATTCAATTTTTCTATTTATGACCAAAACTTGTATGTTCTATTTCTTAGACACTGTTCAGCATATTCCATTAGAGGCATATAATATCAGATTCTCTCTCATCAATATGGAGAACTACTGATGATCAATACGTATATCTACTAATTCATTAAGGTTTGAAAAATTGTTATATTGCATTTTAATTATGTTTTTATTTATAGAAAGTATTACTGCTTCTTGGCAATATTCATTGGATAGTACATTACAGTGTTTGGTATGAACGTCCCATTGAGTATGCAGCATTTATACATTCCATGTTTCCTTTCAGAAATATCCTGTACCGCATGGATGAGAAGACAAGCCAGTTTTCCATACTCATGGAGTTCTGGGATCACTGCAACTCACTCACATCAAATGAGACCCTTCAAGAAGCCCTGTCAGAGGTTTTGAACAGCATTAATTCAGCTCAGGTTTACTTCAAAGCAGGACTTGAAGTGTTTCAGAGTGTCTAGGTTTTAAAGACCTGAGAATACTCTCAGCATTTTAAAAATGCTTGTTTACAATTCTATAAGCAAAAGCTCTAAATTGACCAGATTTCTCCGATATTGAGGACCTTTCCCCACCATGGCTTTTGAACGTCTAAAGCTATTATTACATGATATTTTTAGTGTACATAGAACATTTTGCACATCAAATATTGTTCTTATATCTACATTTCTGAATAAGGAAAAACAAGTTATTGAAATAATACTTAAGATTTATCTATTCAAAGAAATCTGCTGTATTTTTATATATAAACTATTTTGGGAGAAAATTTCCATGAAGTTCTGGACCTCTCGTCTCCTATGGACAGAACATGTAGTAACACAAAGTTATTCTTTCTGACAGAACTATTAATGACCAAGTTTCTATAATAGAAATGGAGAGTTGATAGTTTCGGATTAACTTCACTAGTAAGTGTTCGATATGAAGAATCACGTATTCTGACTGGAGTGATTGGTTACGCAAAACCACTTTGAATGTTTCTATTTTATGAAATGAAGTTCCTCTTCTTAACACAACTAGATGTAGTAATACACTGGTTACGAAATTGTACTTTTTAAGTATTAATGAAAAAAAGAGCCATAAACATTCCAGGGAAAATTCTCAAGGTAGCTGCATAAAGCAATTTAAATGCAAATTTTTTCCTAACAACTTACAAGGTGACGAGCTTTGAAACCCCTAATTTGCTTCAGTTGATTTTATAAGAATTTCAGATGTGATGGATGTCTTATGAGGGAGAAAACATTTCTTTTTTTTTTTTCCCTTGTGATTTCTGCTAGACCCACTGAAACAGTGGCTACTCTAAATGAAAGTATCTTTTGCATGGCTTTTCCTTCCCGGATCTATTCTGAAACTCTGCTATAAGGCAGTTTTCACAGAATACTGTATAATTTCCACAGGAAAATAGCCAAGTTTCTCTTTGAAAACACAAAATATCATAAAAAGCATTAAAGTGCTTTTTATGCTGCTTACAGAAAGAACTTACTCTGAAAGAAATATTTGTTTTTGTCAACGAAAAACTGTAAATCTATGAAGCACATTTGATGTGTTTTTTCCTTCTTTATGTTTAATTGTAGCTAAGGTGAAGCACAGAAAATATTCATGTTTATAATTCTGTGTAGAATTTTTCAGTAAAAATGCATTTCTCCCATACTTCACTGTTTCTTTCATGTGGAAAATTCAGCTTTTCATATTGACATTGTCATTGAATATCTGCAGCATTCATTATTCCCCCAAACTCTAAAATTCTGCTTCATAATGGAAGGTTAAACTTTATTCTAACTTATAAAATGTTCTTCTGACATTGGATAATACAGCTCCCCACAGGAAAAATAACTCTCACAATATCCTTACACATTTCTTTACCAAACTCAACATAGTCCCCATTTCACATTGCCAGAACAGTATTTCAAGGGGTGCCTATTTGTCTGTCTTCCCTTAAATATAAACCTAATCTTGATTGAAAGAAAGCTGATGTTGAAGGGAAAGAATTAATTAGTGTTGATTAGCGTATTTATTAGAGTCAGCTTTTCCCCCGTAAGTAATGTTTATATGTCCAGAGCAGAGAATTGAGGCAATTAGCTGGATAAGTCAAACAGCAATCCTTTCTCATCAATAGACTTTGTGTCCACGTTTTCATATAAAAATTGAATCTTACAATTTTCTATTTTAAAGAGAAAAAATAAAAACAGTGATAGAGAATTTCATAACAAGATAATAGGAAATTAAAAATGGTTAATATACTGCATGTTGCTGTCTTCAAAATAGTTGCTCAGATTACAAGATACAGGTATACAAAATTGATCAAACAATGTAATCACATCATTCTCTTCAATGAACTAAAAGAAATGAATAGTATAATTATGTTAGCGTCTTTCTTATTTGAAAATATGTGCCATGTTGCAGAGTGTGCATAGAAAGGTTTAAAAAGATCATACTTCTATGTGCTTTGATGTCTGTGCCTTCTGCTCTGGAAACCAAAATAGCAGAAAAGAATTGGGAAAACTGTCACAGACATGAGGGGTCCCATAGTGGAATGCCTTAAATCCAAGGACCTTAACTGCCTAATTGAAGTAATGTGTTCATTTATTTTGTTAAAATGTGGAGTTAAATGTAAAACAAAGAAAGAAAAACTACTGCTATTCTTTAGAACAAAATTTTTAATAAGTTTGCTCCCATGATCACAGTAGTATTGAGAGCAGAGAATATTCTTATTCTTCATTTTATTTAAAGACTGACTGTATGCAGATAAGCCATATTGCATAGTTAAAAGTCTCATTATGTTGTATTCCTCACTTCTAAATTATATGGCTTTTACCTCTTGAAAACTGCAGTTAACTCTGAACTAACATGTGTTTATTAGTCTATTTAAGAGATTACATGAAGAAGGTAAATTATAATTAAAACAGATGTCCAACAATTCTATAGATGCTATTTTACATATCTGACTGAAATAACTTTAACTTACTAGTTACAACTATACTATGATTGCCTCAAGTTTACTCCAGGTTTACATTATTTTAATGTCCCCCTAATAGAAAATCCTGGAGAAGTTAATATTGAATGTTGATGTAAATTGGTAGTGTGTATAAATTGTTACTGAGACATCAAGGTATTTGCTACTTTTAAAAATTTTTAATCTTGGGCTGGTGTCCAAAGATAATAAATTCTTAATGACTGCTCGCTCATGAAAATGAGTATAACTCAAATAAATGTGTATCTCTGAAATTTGTGTTCAAGCTGGCTACCCATGGAATACTGTCCTTCACGGAAAAGCTTAGATCATAGAGGTAAAAGGAACCCTAACAGAAGTTCCAAACTAAGCTGCAGGATCTTGTCTTCAGTCATAAAAGACATTATCATGCCTGTTTGATATAATAAGTAAAGGCAGAGTGACTATGAAATTTGAACATAGTCATATCTTTAGTTAGTCCCAGAAATACTTCAGGCAGTTAAGATTCTCTGGTTTCTTCTGTAGTCTCTCTCTCTCTCTCTCTCTCTCTCTCTCTCTCTCTCTCTCTCTGATAAACTTTCCAGGTCCTTGTAAGTAACCACCCATTTAGAAAAATGTTCTATGAACTAGGAACTCTGCTTTTAATTCGAGGCTAGCTCACTATCTGATTATATCTGACAAAAGCTTTTCAAGTTTCTCCAATTCCCTTTCTTAAGGAATGCAGGCAATGGAAACAGACTAGCTACTCGAAGAAGTGGGAAACGTATCCATTTGACCACAAGTGTCAAGAAAGAAGACAAAGAACAAAATGTATTTATAAAAGGATATGTGAGCTTGGTATAAAATTGGCAGTCTAAATCAGTACTTCTCAAAATGTGGAATTTGGTGACAGAGGCTTTGGAAACTATCTTCAGATTTCTAGATGATCTTTACAAACACTGAAGTTTAATAATGTCTTAATATATTTAATCTTGGGTCCTCAGAAAATATTAATTGACACCTTACCTACGTAAATCAAGGAATCACAAATGAGGGAACCTAGATCTTTATTTTTAATGGCTCTATTACAAAAAGGACCTATATTATATCTAAAAAAATTATTCCAATGTAGTTAAAAAGTACTTGATGCATGTCAATCAATCCTCTAGATGTTTTCCACAAAAATAAATGATTTGTTACTTTCTAATAATGAATAAGCATCTTTGACTCAAATAAAAATTGTAAGTATTTACATAATATGTTGGTGGCTTGGCCAAAATGTTCTGAGACATTCTGTGACATGTATGATTTTTTACTCCCAAAATTAAGCCTTTTCTCTGGATCACACATTTTCATTACATTGATTTAATAGTCAATTTAAGAGTACCTTAGTCAGACATACTATTAATGGAAAAGAATTATTTTGACCTTCTTTTCCATGTGTTCATGGAAAGGAAATTAGTCCATATATTCTAATACATTTGTCAGCAACACAACATTCTCATTACAGCCCTCAAATTTAGTTCAGGATGGAAAACAAACAGTGTGATTTTTTAGAATAATATCCTGCACAGAATTTGTCTATCTTTCATGATTTTGAATTGTTAACTTAAAAAAGATTCATTACAATTTGCTGTTCTGAAAAATCTTAAAAAGCTTTACAGAGTTTTACTCACCACCTTAAGTGTGAGTACTTTTCAGTGAAGTAGGCTTATTTTATCCAATTTAAAATTTTAAATGATATAAATTTGAACAAGGCATGTAGCAAAATAAATCTGTAAAATGTAGCCTTTTCTGGTCAGTGCCATGTCCATGTGATTTTCTGTTTTTCCCTTTCTGGATATATTCTGGCAATGGGATTAGATTTTTCCCCTGGGAAGTAATTTTAAGACCTATCCATCTCAAGATAAACCCACCTGTTAATCAGCCAGAGTTTTATTTCCATAATACCTTTCCCTTATCCTTCACCCTTGTATACTAAAGTGCCTTTAGCATACTTGAGATTGCCAAGAAGCTTGAGAGCTGACTTACTGCAAGATGACACATTGCTTGAAGACATTTATAATCACATATTCAGATTGAATCAGAACTTACAAAGTAAAGGACTAAAGTGGAGTGGTTTCAGATAATGGTCAAGACAAAAATCTGCCTTGAATTTTGGTATTGCTAGTTGTATCACTTTGTGTTTGAACCATACAGTCACACAGTACACTTACTAGAACCAAAATGATGATTTTGATTTTTTTTCTGCCAAAATACAATCATCAATGCCAAAGAAATGCATGACTACTCCAATTTTGTATGCAGGATTTAGTCAAGAATTAACTCAGAAGCAGTTGATTCACTGCCTACATGTAGACAAAGCTTTAATGAGTGTAGACAGAGCCTAACAGTATTCCGTTTAATTCCTTTGATATCTTAAGCCAATAAGCACTGAGGTAGCTAGTCTCAGAGGAAAACAGATTTTATTTTCCAGGGGCTAATTAATATGCACCATCTCAGTTCCCAAAGGCCCACACAGGTGCCTGTACTATGCCATATGTCATGTGCTATATCCCTGCATGCTCAGGAGATTAATATACAATCATTATTATGAATTATTATGTTGCATTGAAGTTAATGTTGGTCTTTTGTTCTAATTAAAATATAAACCTGACATCTGTATAGAGTCTAGCTAAAGATACAGAGTCTCTATTTTAATGAAATTCATATATTTTTCAATCTAAATGTGTATTTATTTAATTACCTATCCTGCTCAGTAATCAACTTTCCAACTTCTTAAAAAACCTTTATTGACTATATTACCATGCAAATGGTTAATATTTGGTAATGTTTGTCTTTGGAATTTTCTAGCCATTTCTGAATCATGTTTTCAGTGTCTATGGTAGTGTTTTACTAATAATACTTTTCATCCAGCTTCATATCAAACTGGCATGACTGGACTACCTTATTCTAAAAAAGAATAGAATTCTATTTTTCTATAAACATAATTTTGGCATATGTGCTTAATAAGAAAAACATATAAACAAAATACTTTGCTGCATCATTTCAAGGTGTTTTCAGGAATCAAACTCTTAGATGGTTAAGTGTAGCTCGCACAATTATATTCCAAAGATATTATACATAATTCTATTCAGCAGCTGAGATAGGACTCTATTAGGTGATTTAATGTTTACATTGTAAACAGAAATCCTTAGTGAAAAATAAATTCTGTACATTCTAGCTTCCTACTTGGAGAATAAGCACAGAATTGTATTCAGAAAAAAACTCTCTAGGACACTTTGAAATGATAATTTGTTTTTGTACACATCCAGAAAATCAGCATGACATTTTGATAATGGTTTTGTCTGTGTGTTTGGAATGTTACTATACATCATGCATTTAACATTTCAATCAGATTGTAATGTAATAACACTTAAATATAATTTTTATAAAAATTGAAAGTCAGTGATTTAAAATTAAAATTAGCTCTAAAATGAAAAATGAGGATGAACAGGAGATTTATAAACTAATGGGTTAAAATTTGAAGCATAATTTTTCCCAATAAATTTCTTTTGATTAAAAACAAATACTTATCTTGATGTGATTCAATTGCTAAATTGCACTGAACTATTTTAGTGTTAAGTTTTTTTCAAGGTAATTTGATTATGATCTGTCATGTAGAAGTATTTTTATTGTATAGAGATTTTCACTGTCATTTTTTTTGTTATAATTGAGGCATGTGTATACATTTTTCTGATTTCTATATAGAGTTGAATATCTAAGTCTTATATGTGGAAGCCTATTGGAAATTTAATGCTGTCTGTATTTTTCCCAGGCATGATCTCAGTTTACTGTGTAACATTTTTGTGTTAGTTAATGTAACTAAATATCCAACTTTATTGTGATTTGAAGTGACAAAAATATGGATTGGGATGCAACATTCCTTAAGAATATAAATTAATATTTTGTATTTCAGTTGCTTAAATATTTGCACATAATTAAAAACATAATACTATGAAATGAAGGCATCTTTTCAAAACATTCTGATTCATAATGAAATGAATACGTACAGAGAAATGGTAATGTTTAAAACACCCACTTAAAATGCATTAAATACAGATGAAAATCATTCTTATTGTGTGTTTTATGATGAAATATAGTATTTTAATTATGCAAAATGAATTTGTTGTTAGTATGTTTTATTAGGAAATTATATTTACATAGTGTAGATTATATCAAAACAGGGTATCCCTTCAGTTAAGGAGCATCCTATGTGCAATATTTTATCATCTTTTTTCTTCTTTGCTTTCCATTCATGAGCTTTCAGTTCTTGTAATGAGCCATGACAGCTTCCAGTGTATGCCAGGTTCTAACATCTCCGATGCTAAAGACTTCTGTTTCTGAAAAATTCTGTTTGCTATTTACCACACAGAAAAAAAATCTCTGCTTGCCTGATTTAGTAGATTTCATCTGTTCCTTCATGCAGCAAGCATTTCCTATGAGGCTATTCTAGACCAGGCACTGTACTGTCTTAGATGCTAAAGGTACAAAGATGGTCAGTGCACTGACCTTCTAGGATTTGACAGGCAAACAGGATGTAACACTTCAGTTTATTTGCAATTCAAAATTTAGTAATATCAGTAGAGTTCGTTGTAAGCATATTGAGAGCAGTAATATCTGAAAGGCACCATATGCTCAAGCCATGTATCTGTCCCGGAGTCTTCTTTAGCCTTTAAAAAAAAAAATCAACTTTCTCCAATGCATGCCATACAATAGCCATCATTTATTATTATATTAGGCTCTGGTTTGTAAGCATTAGTAAGATATTATTTAACATTTAAAATGCCTTATGAGATAGGTATTCTCATTCTGTCCCATTTGATGAATGAGAAAACTGAGAGTTAAGAAAACTAATGATATTTAACAGTTACTATGATGTGACAATACAGATAGAAATTTTTAAAACTTTGAAAAACTATAGATAGCATATTAATAGATAGTATTATTAAAAAGTACATCATTCGATACTGTGAATATGTTCTGAAGAACATCATGAAAATCACTGATCAATTTTGTCATTGTGTGAACATCCATTATAGTGGGCAAACTAATACCACCACTTTATCATTGGACAGGATAGTCTTATGGGGCCACCAAGGTGTATGCAATTTGGCATTATTGCATTTGAAACATAATTATGCAACACATGACTTTATGTTATCCACTGATACACACTCCAAGTGTTAAAATGCAGACTTAAAGAAAATAAACAAATTTTTATCATTCATGACAGTAGGAGAGAAACAAGAGCTAAAAGTGTAATAAGGAAAAACCTTAACAATAATATTTTATTGTCTTCATTACTTTATGATCATCGCTGAGACAAAATACCTGATGCCCAAGTTGGGAAAGGAAAGGTTTATTTCTTACAGTTTTTGGAGGTTTCAGTCCACACTCAGTTGCCTCCAAGACAGTTGGGCATGGCTTGGCCGCCGTTCATGGTGGCTGCAAACAGCAAGCTCGAACGAGCAAAGAGAAAAACACATCTTTCTCCTGCCATTTCATCACATCCTGGCTCCACCCCTTTGTGGGTGAAGCACTGATGCCACCAAACCAAGCACTAGACAATGAACGAATAACAAATGCACAATTCAAATTCATGAGACCTGGGGGACACAAACATAAACCATGACATTCCACCCCTGGCCCCCAGGACTCATGTGCATCCTTTATATAAAAGACATTTTTAGTCCACCTCCAAGAGTTGCCAAAGTCCTAACACCTTTAGCATTGCTGAAAAGTCCAAGTCTAAAGTCTCCTCCAAGATCTATGGCAAGCTCTTAACTGTATGCCCCTGTACAAATGAAACAAGGTTAAACATTTCTGAAATGCAAAGGCACAAGATAAACATCACCATTCCAAAAGTTACAAACAGGGGAATATAAAGTATTGGAAACAAAGCAAGTCCAACATCCAGCAGGGCAAACAATAAGTCCTAGAGTTCCACACTCAGCATCTGAAGCAATCTGGTTGCAAGCTCCAAAAGGCTTGGGTGATTCCACCCTCAGGGCATCTCTGGCGATTTCAACTCCTGCAGCTTTTCTCGTAAATCCTCTCTGCTCGCTTTTTGCAGCTTCCCTTGGATCATCCACATTCCTGGCTTTTCCAAACTTCTGGGGTCTCCACTGCACCTTCAGCTTCACCCTTATATCTTCACAAATTGCCCTGTCAGGGGCACACTGCATGGCCAGCTGGGCTCTTTGCAATCAAGGTGGAAGCCTTCTTACCCTCAGAATTTGTGCATTTTCCTTGCACCTAAAATCAGCATATTGTAGATGCTGCCAAGCTTTGCTGCTAGCTGAAATAGTAGCCAGGCTTTTCTCTTTCTTGGCTGTAGGGGTCAGTTGCCTGGATTGCAGGGCTCTGTTTACCTGATTGTGAGAGAAAAATCTTCTCTGTGTTGCCGCCATTCTGGAACCTCATGTGGCCTCTGTCGCCATTCTGGAACCTCACTTGGCCTCTGTCACCATTCTGGAGCATGACACTCTGTAGCTTTTTCCTCTGAGCAAAATTTTTCATCTTTGCTGTGAAGCTGCACAGGGTGGGGACCTGCTTCCTGGGATGCCCCGGGACCATCTTTCTTATCTCTCTATTTCTCCTCAGGAATCAACATCTCAACTCTGTCTTTACAATCCACACCCTTCCTGGAATCTTCCTTCGGGCCAAACTCACAACATTGTACATTATCCTGCTGGGCTCTTTGTTCCTGATTTGAAACATAAAGCTGGCTGAAGGCCCCCAACAACAGCCATGCCACAGCCTCAATGTTCGATTGCTTTTTAATTTCTTTTTCAAGATTAACCAGTCCATTATCCTTTGTCTCAGTCTCAGGCAAAGTCTCTGGGCAGGAGCAAAATGTAGACAAACTTTCTGCCAAGCCATAACACACTACATGTGGAGTCCAACAACCAATGCAGTCCTTCCCAGCAGAGACCTCCCAAGCCTGGTCTTTACCATGAGGCTTTCTATCATCAGCCTTCTGGTCTCCTGAGCTCTGACCAGAATCTCCTCTACAGAATGCCTAAGCTGCTCCTGCTCTATGCATCCAGGCGACATGTCCAAACCTTTCCAAACTCCGCCCACAAGCCATCTCCAAAGCCTCTTGAAAAACATGGTCAGGTATAGTCACAGCAAATGACCCCACCTTCAGTACCAAATTCTGTCTTCATTACTTTATGATTGTTGCTGAGACAAAATACCTGATGCCCAAGTCGGGAAAGGAAAGGTTTATTTCTTACAGTTTTTGGAGGTTTCAGTCCATACTCAGTTGGCTCCAAGACAGGCAGGCATGGCTGGACTGCCATTCATGGCAGCTGCAAACAGCAAGCTTGAATCAGCAAAGAGAAAAACACACCTTCCTCCTGCCATTACATCACATCCTGGCTCCACCCCTTTGTGGGTGAAGCACTGACACCATCAATCCAAGCACTAGACAGTGAATGAATAACAAATGCAAAATTCAAACTCATGAGACCTGGGGGACACAAACATAAACCATGATGTAGATTTTAAAAATTGAATCAAATATAATAAAACATAAAGTGTTAGATTAGGTTATTATTCTTTTTTTTTTTTTTACAACCTTCTCAGTTTTAGGTGGTGAGTACATGTGTGTTATGAAATTCTTACTGGTTTTCTGGAGGAATTTTCAAAAAGTAAGATAGCACCCTTGTAAAACAGTCTGATTCCAAGTCTACAATTACAAACTATTAACCTAATCTGTCTTTCTGAATGATGAATTCCTTACCTCTCCCCTTCAACTACATTAATCTTATAAAATCACTTTCCATGTGGTATTCTCTAACATCCTAAATGTTTGTAGGTATAATTTCAGGATAGTTGTATTTCTTGTTAATGTTGTTCCTCTTTAATTCTTTCCCATCTCAGTAAGTGTGGTGGTCCACTTCCCAAGGTATGAAGGAGCCAGAGAAAATAATGTGGAAAGAAAAAAATTATTTATTAAAGCATAGGCCTGGTGATGCAGCGTCCCAGTAGCCAATATGGAAGACTGTGCACCTAACAGCTAAAGGGCAAGTGTTTTATCCTGTAAAACCACAAACATCTGCTGGTATCACAATGGGGGGGGGAGTGGGTTTGTGGCCCACTACAGAACAGGAACACAGCGGTTACATTTCTTGGGAAAAGCAAGGCTCAGGTTAAGGGTTGGGCTAACAAGCAAGTTTAGATTAGGCAAACAATCTCTGGGGGAAGGCACATCCTGCAAACAAGCAAGTTATCCTGCAAACAAGCAAGTTACCCTGCAAAACAAGCAAGTTTAGATTAGGAAGACATCCTATTCTGCTCTTAGAGCTACCTTTGCTCTTTCTCTTACCTCAGAGGAGACATATGAGAGTTTTTTTTTTTTCCATGTGTAGGTTACAACATTCCCCACTGATTTTACATCTTCTTCTCCAAATCTTTGGGGGAAGACTTGAGAACTAATCTTGATGGTGAACTGGTAACATTTCATAACCTTGGTGGCATAACACCATCAGCCTCACATCTTGCACTTGCTGCCTGATAAAGGTAGTTAGCCTATTGACTACACAGGGGCCTATTAAAACCAAGAGTAAAAATCCTAGCAACGGGCCAAGCAAGGGCAGAAGATAAGGCAGGATTCCATTCCAGACACTCCAAAGAGGGTTTTCAAATAGCTCTCTTCTTCTTTTTACCAGGTCTTCCTGCAGTCTCTTGATTTTATCTCAAACAATGCCAGACTTGTTTACATAAAAGCAGCATCATTCTTGCAGTGCCACACAGATCCCTCCTTGTTCTGCTGTCAGAAAGTCTAGCCCTCTTCTATTTCGAAGGACCACTTCAGCTAATGAATCTATCTGATCCTGAATGTCCTGAATGGTACTAAATAATGCCTGTACATCTTTAATGATCTGGTTGGAAAATTGAACAGAGACCCCCACTCCTGCTGCCCCCATACCCAAGGCTCCTGATATTCCCAGACCTACAAATAAAGGAATAATTGAATTGCCCTCTTTGAGCAGCCTGTAATGTAATCCAGGCTAGGAATGGGGACAGGGTAAAAGCTCTATGTCAGGCAACAGGACAGCTGTT